GATTACATCGAGGCGAATCAAATGAGCCTGTAAAATTGTTGGGCTTGGTAACGAGAGGATTTCTAAAAGGTTAATATTTGCTGTACCGAATGGTAAACGGCAGAAGGGTAAACCGAAGGTGGGAAGATTGAGTTAAAGCCCATCTGAAAGAACTGGACGACGAACAGCGGAGGGAGGTGTGTAATAAGCGATTGGTGGAGTCGGCATCGAACCTTCGGGTTCGCTAAGCCTTTTTTATTATTATTTATTATTGAATCCTGAAATAATTTTAAATATCCCTATACAAGTTTATGATTATTTCATGTATGTTACTGTGCTTTCTTACATAATTTAATTGGTCATAATAACATTTCCTTAGTGAGAAATATCAAGTCAGCTGTGTCAATGAATGACTCCACAATTCCTTGCCGTCTTCGTCATTTCCTTGCCAAGTGGCTTATCAATGCGTGTTTTAAATGACATATTAAGGAAGAGCGAATAATTTTTTTTTTTCTTAACTAGAAAAGAATTAAAAAAAAAAAAATATATATATATAATTTAAAAATAAAAAGTTTGCAAATGTGTTTATACAATATGGTTCCAAAGGAATTTATTGAATAATAATGTAATCTACCACATTGAAATGGAACAATTATTAGGCCAGCCCATCTTAACCACCTTCATGAGATTGATTGGTCAGTTTTTGTTTTTGCCAGATCTCTCCGATTATAGTACAAAGGATTCTAGAGATTTTTCAAGACTTTAATGCACTCGAAAGAGAGAAGATTAAATAAAATAAGATCAATAAGATCAAACGTCTCGAAATGAAGTGTGATAAATCCTCAATTTAAAAAAAAAAATTATAAGAAAAAACATTTGTGGAAATTTTACATAATTTTTTTTTATCACATTATTATCATAAAAAGGGTTCTGCCCAATTACATTGGGTTGCTAGAAACACAGCATACTTATTAATCACTACAGACAATTTTTTAAACTAATATACAATTATATAGGCTTAACAATATGTATTTATATATATGTATTATTATTTTTTAATGTATTTTTTCCTTTTAATTCTTTTTTTTTTTACTATTTCTTTCATTCATTTATTATCATTCTATACCCCTTTCTCTCCCTTCTCTCCTCTTATAAATTTTTCCTAATCCTCATATTCTCTCCTCTCTCTTCCTAACCTAATTCATAAAGACAAAAAAAAAAATACATAAAGTACAGTGGACGTGTTCAATATATAATTCAGTAAAACCTCTGCTTATTAATTATAAATAAATTTTAAGTACCTTTTAAATTTTATAAAAAATGAAATGAAATTTCGAAAAATGTACAAGCCTGACAATTGTTATTTAATTCATTGGCTATCCTACAAATACGTCATTAGGCATGTAATTTCTTAATATTAATAATGTAATAACATGAAATCTGTATTTTTGACTGATAGCATCATATGTTAACCATCAACGTACTAAATACTAACGGTGTGTTAAACTGTCTGAAGATTTTTCTTCCCTCTAATTGACTCATATATTATAATCAATTTTTTTATAATTTAATTAAATGAATCCTTATCAAAACATTCGCTGGAACGGTGCTGGAGGAACAATGGACTGGAGATTATTGGAACCATTCCAGAGCGTACTCTCAAGGCCGGGAAGCCGCAGGGAAAGTAGGGTCGAGGAAGAAAAAGGAAAAGAAAAAGATCCGGCTGGGGAATGGGAAATGGGGGAACAGAAAGGGAACTCAAGACTCATTTCATCTGCTAATAGGGTCTCAAGTTTGAGAGCTACTCAAGTTTTTAAACTTTATTTTAGAGGATCTATAGACTTTAGAAATAATAATGATTATTTGCGATCTAAAGAAAGGTTCGAAATTTTTTCCTTTGATTATTTATTTTTTATTTGAGATAATTAAAAAGAAATGGCAAATGTTTAATATTGTGTTATTATATTTTAAGAAGTTGGATAGGAGTACTATCAATGTATTTATTGTGTACCTCGTTACATCTTTCAGGACTCAATAAACAAGATAAAAAAATTATGTTAATTATTAGGCAATGATTACTTCCAATTAGCAGCAATTGAATATATTTGTTGTATTATCAAAATTGCATGTTTACAAGTTTACGTTTCGGGATATTTACTCGCATCTTCAGAACCAAAATCCCAATGATCTTGTGGATACTTGGCTTAAAACTAATGTGCTCCATCGTCAGTTTCTAATTCATGTTATAATAAATCTAGGTATATAACATCTAGAGCAACATCTTGCTGTTAGACTAATTATTGGGGCCAAGGGGCAGGCACCCAAAAATTCTCTAGATGTTATATACCTAGATTTATTATAACATGAATTGGAAACTGACGATGGAGCACATTAGTTTTAAGCCATGTATCCACAAGATCATTGGGATTTTGGTTCTGAAGATGCGAGTAAATATCCCGAAACGTAAACTTGTAAACATGCAATTTTGTTTCAACAAAAAATATATTCAATTGTTGCTAATTGGAAGTAATCATTGCCAAATAACTAAGAATATCATACAACTTCCCAGAAAAAAGAAAAAAGATTGATGTTAAAATTAACTGACTGTATTATGATTATTGTTGTTGGTTCTTGGTTTATGGCAAATGTTTAACTTTTGTCGATATAAGTAATATAGTCACCATGGAATACTTATTACTTATTAATTAAAATAATGCTATTTATGATAATCTTTGACGAACTAAAATTATTAGTCCGTGGTACAGACCACTTTTTATCACATTATTAACATCCGCCTGAAACTTCGTAAATAGCTTCATCTCATCGTAACCTACAAAAATTTTATTTAAGAAAATTTTCAGAATTGGAGCGTTTTCAATCTGGGTATTGGTAAACTTTGTCTATTTAATTAGGCAATAAATATTTGTAAATAATCAATGGTTTTCCATTATAATCGTAAGTTAATCAGATGTCTCAAGCTTTCTAATATGAGAGTCCTTATTACGGTAAATTATTTAATATATTAAATATTAGCCTTATAATATAAAGTATATATTATTCCTATTATGATAGTGATTTTTAGATTTTTAATATGAAATGCATTGTTTCTAGTTCTTAAACGAAAAACGACATCTTTAATTAGATATGTTGAATTCAATTCTAGATTCATTACATTAGCAATTATTTAATGTTCAAATCTAATTTTTTTAATACGAAAAATTCTGTTGTTATTTTTTCCTTTCATGTGTTCATAAAAAAACAACATAAAAAAAAAATCTTCATTAAAGGTGTTCCAAGAAGAGAAGAAGGCAATCTACAAATGCAGGAGATAAAGCTCCAACATTGAACTTAGCTAAGCCACAAAGCTCTCTTGTTGATGAAACGCAGCGGAGGCACGAAACTTCGCATGTCGCGAGATATGTAGGGACACGGACTTCATTAGCTGGAGAGGTCCTGGAATGCTTTATGGCCGAGAACGTTGGTTATGGGCCATATGGTGCCAAAATGGTGTCCTGTGCTTTATTGGCCGCACCATTTTGGGCGTTTGGTTTATTACTGGGCTGTCAGGCCTTATCTAACGCTATGTCACAGTCCATTTTTTTTTTTTTTTTTTGGAGTTCTTCCATGTTCTATGAATTGAGGTTCGAAAAGGCATTTTTCGAGGTATCAGCAACACATAAATTTTCGAACTGATTTTCGCAAGTTTCTTACTATACATATTGTTTATTTATATGTATAGTTATATTTTTTTTTTTCGTTCTGATAATCTACACTCTATTATAATGAGGTAGTACATATCTTATATGCTACTTTCAGGAGCAAAGGATTTTGTTGAACGAGATAAACAGACTCCTTTTTATTAACTTATTATCTACAACTTTTTATTTACGAAAATTATCGGAAATGGGTCGTCAAATCGGGAGATAGTTTTGTTAATTTAATTCTATGTTAATTTAACGAGGCACTAAAAACTCACAAACATCCATTTGCTTTCCAAATGTTGGCTTTCCACAAAAATGTTGGACCATTGGATTTTCAATCCCCAAAATATTAAAATAATGAGCTAAACGAACCAAGATTTTTGAAGGCAGGCTTTTTCGTGATTTTCCGATCAAATTATCTTACGTTCCAAGTGGAAAGAAAATCGGTATTCATAAGGATTTAAATTAATTACTAAATGAGAAAACGCCATTTACGAAGTTTTAGGTAGATATGAGTAAATTCTACTCGAGTACTGAGAACCGTTGTTTTACTGTTTTATGTTTTTTTCGCAAATACTGACCGTTTTTGATTACCAAAGAATTTAATTACTACTTCATTTGATCTCGAAAGTTTAACTGAAATAGTGATGGAATTCCTAAATCCCCACGGGTTCACATGTTTCACTCTGGTAGACCGTGTTGAAGTGGCTTTATCCTACTTCCCGACGACAATTCCTCCTTCGTGTTTTCCTTTTCCAAGTCTTCAGAACCAAAAACCCTCCCTACATCCTGGAACTCCTTACTCTACTCTCCTCTATCCACTCTCTCTATACTAAGTCTTAACCAATAGACTTATATATTCCCTCCATAAACCTTCCTCCTTCAGCAATTCTTTCGTCATTCGTGCTGCTTCCTTATGGAACTCACTTCCTACCCCCATGCGTCAATCCTCATCCACAAATTCCTTTAAACAACTCCTGTTCCACCACCTACTCCACATTCAAACTTCCCCTAACATGTAAAATTACTTGCATCTGTGCACTGTTTTATTTCAATCTATTGCACAATTGAAATAACAATTAACAGTCAATTAGTTTGTATTTTTATTATTACGTCAGACTAAGACCCATAAATTTGTAACTCTGTTATTATTCTTAGGGGACAGTAGTCCCAGAATAAAATTATTTTTTTCATTACATTTCATTTCAATTCCAGATAGTAATTCAATTTGAGTGAAATACTTGGTACTCGGTACTCAAGGTCTGCACCGCGGTTTAAAATCAGAATAACTAAAGAATTACTTAAAAATTTCTAAAACTGCTACTGCGCAGTTACAAATGGGCTAAATAATAAAATAAAATCAATTTAAATAAATTTTTATAATTCATTGAATGAAAGTTAGCTTATAACAAAACTGCAGCGAAGTAGAGAAGCTCTTATAATGCATCGGAAACTGGATATTGCAAATTATAATACATTCCTCGGTGTAATGTTTCTTATGAATATCGACACAAATATCCAAAGGCGATAAGGATCAAAGAGGCTGCGGTGTGGATGGAGAACGCTGCGGTCTTATGGCTTCGCGTCTTTTTGCAAACTCCTCCTCTTCCAGTTTCTTCTCGCGTATCCTAGGTGGCGGGCCGGAGCTCTGCGGTTTCAGGATACAGGAGGCCGTGAAAGAAAGATGGCTACGTGATACCGCACACAGATACATCTCCTCAGTGGTTAGATTTCTTCTGATAAATGCGAAAATGATCTTCCCATCTGAAGAAGTTCTATTACCGACAATCATAAGAGCGAATAAACATAAGAAGTGGTAACTACCATATGAATAATAGATGAATAAATATCCCTCACTATTTCATATTATTCCTATATTTTTTTCTATTTGCGCTTATAAGAAGATAAGGTTAAAATATTTCTCGAGGGTTGAATACACAATTTAAAATATAAGAAAAATTCTCAAAGAACGCATATTCAGAATATACAATATAAGAATATACTGTAATATATGTATATAATCATTCTATATCACATACTTTTTTATTTTTTTAAACATTTTATTAAGAAATATTACAATCTGTCTCAGTTAAGAACACTTATAATATAGTTCAGAGAGTACATTCTTACCGTATGTACAGAAACATAAATAAATACAGTAATAACAAAAGAATAAGAAAAAAAAAAGAACAAAAGAAAAAAATAATAAAAAATAAATATGTATATATACACATAAGTAAGTAAAAATAGAAATAAAAGTATTATAAACATCTTAGATACAAGCATACCTATATTCACTATTTACAATCAGCCAGAGAAACTCCGAACCAATCTAGTCTCTCTACATATGGAGGAAAAAACGAGGCTTAGGAGATTCCTACGCTTCTCCCTCAGCCACTTCACTGGTATTTAAAATCAGCGGAGGATGAGTAAGAGCGCTACAGCCTCATACTTTCTTAAAACCACCAAAATTGGGTTCTAGGAGTTATGAAATGGACATAAAATTCGCCCTTTCCGATAACTTTTGATACATCGCAAATTTTTTTATTTTTTGGACAAAAATATTACAATAATTACGTTGATGCATTTTTTGATTGAATTAAAGTATTAACAGTACATATTTGGTAACCTTTATATGTACGTTTAACGTTTCTCCTATAACCCTGCCTCAACTGAAATATAATATAGTCTTTTCCGGCATACGAGTTTTCCTCCTGTTTATGTGAGAGAGCGGAGGAATTAATGTAAGAATAAAACACCTTTAGCACTGGGATTCGAACTGGTAATTTTATGGTTTTTGTATAATAGTGCCAGGCAACGCGTTAGCGGTTTAACGTGTGTTCAAATTAAGCGTTATTGGGGAACCTGATAAACTTAAGATTATGACTTTGTATGCCAGTGCCAGGGAGCTTTTAACGCTGGCATTAATCCTCCGCCCTCTCGCAGAAAAAAGCCAGACAAGGCGTGTTTTGCGCTTCGACCTCTGACCTCAATTCAAAAATATCGCACTTATGAATAGAATCAGTAAATACTTTTATTATTTTTTTCTTTCGTTATAAACTAATCTTAAAGTTCCTTCAGATATGGATTTCAATAAACTAATGATATATTTAATAGTATTTCATAAAAATTGAATATAATCTTATGCAAGATAAAGGTATATTCTTTTGGGAGATCTAGTGAATTTTTGTTTAGGTTTAGAATTCATAATATTAATAACGAAACCTTATATTTTTATACTATTTTAGTATGAGATTTAAATGTTATCTTTGTTATTTGAAGAGCATTGCGATGTTTGAATCCGTCTGATATATGCAGCATGTCTTGTGTATCTTCTGTTTACATCTCTTTGCCGCCTGAGTCGCATGTCACACAGGGCCCAAGCGGCGCCACATGCCGCAACTAGGTCAAGTGACATAAGCGATCCACTATATTCAGCGAACTGTTCCCACAGCGAAGGTCGCCGATGACAAGGATACGTTGCGAAACCACGCGACTACGTTGTGGTGTGACACACCTGGATACTGGCTGAGCTGAAACACAAATCCTAAATCCCATTGTGCGAATTGCCTTGTCTACTTCTAGATATAGAGGGCACATCTGTCCTCTTTGATTTTATGTGTTTATCGGGACCAGCTTCTGTCCGGGACATCTGTGCAGGCAGGAAGTCGTAATTCTTCTGTTGTCGAATCACGGAAATCCATTGTATTTATTTCTATGAGGCTAATAGTATACGTAGTGTAGTTATCGGACATTGACAAATCATAAATTATATATTTTTATTTTCAAGTTAATTTGTTATTAGCCCTATTTACACCAATTTTTAAAATTTTTTGTCAACTTAATGACTTCTCATTACAATGACGACGTTTCGGCTCGTCGAGCCATTTTCCATTTACAATCATATATTAAGATTTAACATATTCACTGAATTTAACCAGTCACTGAATAGAAATGAGATGGATGACATGTTGGTGACTCATGAACAAGGTAATTTTAACTTATTTGAATCATTTAATAGGAAAGAATGGAGTAATAATAATGTTGTTAAATAATTAAAGGTGGACATGACAAAAATAAGGAATTTTATTATGAGTAGACGCTTGCAATTCGCATAAGTGAAAATGACAGGTACATGATGGGTATTTTAGGCATATAATAAGAATCTTTATAATTTGAAATATGTTAAATGTTAATATATGATTGTAAATGAAAATTTTTTTAGACTTGAAAATGGCTCGACGAGCCGAAACGTCGTCATTGTGATGAGTAGTCATTAAATTGACAACATTATTTAAAAATTGGTGTAAAGATGGCTAATAATAAATTAACTTGAAAATAAATAGTATGCACCGAAGAAGAAGTGAGAAATATTGTGAATATATATTTTTAACATTAAAACTCAGTAGTATAGTTAGAATTTATAAAACTCTCACACCATGTTAGTATATTTTTGTCCATTCATATATACAATATAACATTATCAATATAAAGCAATAACTTCCTAATGTCATACACTATCCTTTAATAATACCCGTCTTATCTCTGTTGAACGAATCTGGTACCTTGGACTTCACTTGGACAAATGTCTAACTTGGAATCATCATATCAGACTGAAACGAAAAGAAACCGCTCGACGTTTCCGACTACTCCATCACTTACTAGACAAACGTTCGAAGTTTTCAGTTAATCATAAAAGACTCATATACATGACTTCAATAAGACTTACGGACTATTTAGACATACGGAGTTCAGATTTGAGGCACCACAAAGCAATTCAAATTCCTCAAGAATCCAATCCTTACAATCCAAAATCCTTCAGATATTCCTCCAAATCTTTAGTCAATGAAAACAGCTTATACAGACCTTAATTAGCAGACTTTTTTTTTTAATGGAGAAATAATTTACTTCTTAGTAAGGTTACGATGATATGAAGCTATTCACTAAGTTTCAAGCGGATGTTTTACATCCTCCAATTTTTATTAATGCCTTTTATTAATGTTGTTATAGAAATTTAAAAATCAAAATTGAAATTCATCGCTTCTGTATGAAATTATTTTTGGTTAAATACCTCAATCATCACAGTCCATTGCTCTTGAGAGCCAAAAAAAAAACAATCTATACTATAATCTAAATAGATTTTGAATATTTATTATGTTTCTTTTTTTAACGACGTTGAAATGCTAAAAATTAGCATTTGTAAGAAAACATCCAGTACACGCCGACTTTTTTTTTTACTCGGTTAAGACCTTGAAAGGAATGCAGCTTAATGTCCTGTTTATCCACAAAGGATCGTAAATGTCGGAATTTGGCATTTACTGAAGGAATCCTGGGTTTGTAAGTTGAGAATGTCCTGTCAATGAAGGACGATATGTCGTAAATATTTGCTCTAGTTCTCACAATGCCTTATTATGTTGCTATAATTATTATAAATTTAATATAATAATTCAGAATCATTTTATTGGTGAAAATAAAAGTATACAGTGTCTTTTAGGATTAAGTGGCCAAACTGCAAAAATGAAGCAAGGACCTTAAAACAAGAAAAAAAAATTCCCTGAAGGTATGCCTATGAAATAGTATTTTAGTGATTCTTGAAGTCCTATTAAATGTAACTACACGAAAAATAACTCTTTAAGAGGTATTTTTTTAATATTATTTACCAGAAAACATACATTACATTTTACCATTTTGGGGGGGCTTCAGCCCGAAAGCCATCCCCATATCATCAGATTGTTCTACATATCATGGGTTACAATCACAATTACAAAGTTTTAATTGGTGCCGACGTTTCAACCCAAACATGTGGGTCATCATCAGTTGGTGTTTCGAGCACTGAATGTATTCAAGTACTCCAGTGCCCACATGATTTGGTTGAAACGTCGGTACCAATTAAAATGACGGCGTCCTTAATATTTATCAACAAAGATTTTTTTATCTGATTAATGGAAAATCCCAAACCTTTTACCATCAGCCAATAAACAAAATCACGTATGCAATTTATTCCAAATGAGGGTGAAAGTTCGACACTTAACACAAAAAAGTTTCTAACAAAGCATCTTGATTCGATTTAAATTCTATCGATATTTTATTTTCCTGAAAGCTCGATCTGCTACCGTTGCTAATTATATCGGTTGAGTTCTGAGTAAACAGAAGTGTTCGATGATGGTTCCATTATTGGAGGGTAAGTCAGCCATTGATTTCTCCACATCTTCCGAACACTTTCCTTTTTCCGATTGAAATGTCTTTATTCCAAATCTGGAACACGGATCTCTCTTTTATTTCTCATTAGCCCTAAATGTGAGTGCTGGTGAAAAGTAATTATTCTCCTCTTCGAGCGAAATCTCTTCGATAGGAGGGTGATTGGCTCCGACAACCAACTCCTTTTCCACTATAATATATGTTCGCTGACACAGAGCTCCCCAAGGTGAGGTAATGGCGGACACGAGGCCCAGGTAATTGGTTAGTCTCAGGTAACACCTGGCCGTTAGTTTATCGCGGCCACGTACGTCGAGGTTATAATCACGTTAAAACTTAGTCGACAGTAAATGAAAAATCGATATTCTAAGTAATCGATACATATTTAAGGGTTCACTCAATAAATACACCATAAACAATTGATATATATTTTTTACATAAATTAAGCCAATTACCATGACATTTTATTGATACGCTATAACGACGTTTCGACCATACTAAGGGCCATTTTCAAATCTGGAAAATTGTAATATCATTATTAGTTAACATTTAACATTTATAAAAAGAATTTTTTTTTTACACATAATTAACTTGTCTAACGATCTATGTCATATTATTTTCGATACACATAAATGTATCCAAATCTATACACAAAAGTATACACTTTTTCTGATAAAAAAAACCTTACATGTACGTAACTTTAAACATTAGAAACAATTGACTATTACCTTGATGAGTCCCCCGTTGTATATTCATCATTAATGTCGCAATAATTTTTTCAGTGAACATTAAATTCTGCTGCTCTATAGGGGTTTCGCCTACGTCATTTCTGGAGGAACTTAGTTGATCCCAGCCGACTTTACTCGAGCGTTAAACATCGGAGATCTGACGACTAAATATAATTACCGCTCCATTAAAACAGTGCAAAACGCGCCTAAAGAAATTATTATTTAAAAAAAAAATTTTGTTATTGAGAATGTTTTTTTCTCCACCATACTCGAAGATAGTCAATAGGAGGTTTCACTACTGTTAACGTACTATAACTTGTTGGTTTATAATTATATATGGGTGATTCGATAAATATTTAGCGCGGAGGAAATACATTTCCTCCCTTCACAAGTTTTAGAAAGACTTTCAGTTCTGGAAAACAAGAAAATTCTTGGGAAAGTATGAAGTTTGCTGTAATCGCTTTATCAGTATTCTCATATATATTGAATTCTTGGTGTTCATATGTGAAAAAAACAAAACATTTTTTCTATGCATTTACAGTATTTTTGTATCGATAAATAAACTCGAAATTCGCAAAAACGTATTTGAAAAAGTTAACCTATATCGAAATTGCACTTAGTGACTTTTTGCTATAAATTCGACTACTCCAACTATCGTTAATCATATCTCAGAATTGGGTTTATTTTAGCATTATGTAATCTGAATTTGAAATTTAATGGAATTTTTCGGCATTTTAATACTTTCGAAAGGGAGAGAAAAGTTCTATTTGCGTTTGTTATACACTATTATATTTCCGGTGGTTGTTCAATTCATTGAAGTTACTACGGATCCTCTATTATAATTTCTTAACAATAACTTTTAGATAACAAGTTATTTTATATTCGTGGAGGACTATTTAAAATATTGATGAGAACGAATGGGATCTTTTTAGTAGTGCCTCAGAAAATTACAAATGACAATCTTTTCCTCCGATATTTTCTGTAAAATTTATAAAACAAGAAAGGCAAAGATAAATTCAAATAAAGATTAAAATGGAGATTTTAATGCCAGAAATGAACTAATCCTCATGTGACGACCTAGTTCAAGCTTCTGTGGATATCTTAAAACATTTTTAAGATAATAGTTAGACTTCTTACTACCAAGGAATTTGGAAAAAAAAATCGAATAATTTTACTTAATATAATACTCTAATTATCGATGAGCTTGCAACTGTTGCATCATGTCCTTTGTGACGAACTTCTTGAAGACAGTTTGAAGATAGTGAGGAGAAGATAGGGCAGGTAGAGGAACAGCTGGGCCAGGTGGGGAAGACAGCTGGGGTCGTGTTCCCGGCATCTGCTAGCACGTATCCTCAGGATATATCATATCCAGGATATAGGGCAGTCTAAGACCTTCAAGGATTGGTAAAGACTATCTGAAATGAATTCCTTAAGGAAACCTGTACGATTATAACACATTTTATTCGTTCTTAATTCATTCTACCGAATATCTATGGATAGTAGATTTTAAACTCTACATAGTGACCTCCATCTTCCAGCAGCTGATGAACATATAACGACCCTTTACCAACGATTTTATAGTAATTTAAATAGACATCAACACCTGGATGGCCCGTGATTCTTCGCCAACATGGCTAACTTATGGGATTCCTCTGACAATGAAACACATTTTAACAGAATGTAGAGCTTACGAAACATTTAGACTCTCTTGTGACTTAACTAACGATCTACACTCCATTTTATAGGACAATACGAATGAGGTTGATAAATTATTTTCTTTTCTGAAATGTTCTAAACTTAAGAATAAAATCTAGTTCTCGATGAAAATAAGGCAATAATGACCCTAGTCGTTGAAGCCTTAAAATTAAAAAACAAAACAAAAAAAAATAGACATCAGACAACAGATTGATAAGAGACATGACCATAGCTGACATACCTCAGAACATAATGAGGAGGAGACTGAAAAGGCGTTGGATGAGAGATCTCCTTCCATACACAACCTAATTAATTGAAAAATTCAGGAAAAAAGAGGTGGTGCTCAGCACTTACTTTCTCCATGCACAACATGCCATTTATATCTCATATTTCCAGCACATTTGCTTATTGCTAACAAAAAGTTTACAGGCGCAAATAATTTTTTATATAAAAAAAATTTGGTTTATCTAAATAATGAATTATTCTTCTAATAATGAATCAAAATTAATAAAAACTTCATTAACAAATTTTTAAATCTTATTATTATGTTTCCTTGGTTATTTATTGAATATAGTTTTATGTTGGATAAAAATGAGATAATTCTAAAAGAATACTAAATCACAAAGGTGGAATTATATCAGCCTGGTTTTAAAAATACTGCAGTATCATTGGTTATCGTAAATTTCTTATAGCAAGTAAAAAAAGAGAGAAAATACCTAACGAGAATTGTCCTCAAATTTTATTGAAACGTTTTCTTGTAATTACTGATGAAGTATCGATATAAAAATAATAGAAAAATAAGATTTTACTTAGATTTATCGATTTTTTACAATCAAATTTTATTATTTGCCATTTATCTATTTTATATTTTTTTACAAATAAAATAAATCGATTTTTTAATTATATTTTCGTTTTCTAAATTTATAAATGTGTATAATGTGATAATGTACGGAATAAATACGAGACTATGGTAGAGAAATTCTAGACACGCTGAGAAGTCATTGCTCCATATATTTCATAGAACTTCTAATGCTCTATCTCCCGAGTAGTATATTCACTTTATAATAGCTTTGAAGATTGGTATAAGTTTTAATGACTCGAAGACACAATATCTCCATTTTCATTTCACGGTTCCAAGACCATAACTAAAGCACTTTAATATTATAGCTAATGTTCCTCCATTAATACGAAAGTGGTCGAAAATGTGAGTTGGGGAGTACGCGGCCAAATCTAATAATCCGTTTAACTTTCTACTTGAAGGAGAGAAAGAAAGAAGATGGTCCCGAAGAGAAAAGTGATGAGGCCGTTCGCCAACGCCTCCTTCATCTTTAATCACCCACCCGTATAATCTCACTGTCCTAATCAGACAATCGATTCTTATTTGGTCGATTTGACTCTTGTTATGATCTGACTCCTACTGTACCTTTCTCTTTCAAATATCATAAACTTCATCTTGATGAAGATCGATAAATAGAAGTTGACATTGGATGTTTTAAAAATAGTAATTTAAATTACTGTATATATTGTGATAATTGTTAGTTTTTATTAATTTAGCCTATTTTTCGTCTTAACATTTAAATCTATGCATTTTCTTTACTTACTTTTGTTATTTTTTTCTTTTGACTATCAATGAGAAGATCTCATTTTTATCTTATAGTGCATATTTTTATTTAAATTGTCATATATATTATTGGATTTTTTATTATGTTAGCCTACTGTTTTTGTATTAACATACTAAATCAATACTTTTTCTTTACTTACTAGTATGGCATTTTTTCTTTTTTCAAGGTATATATATATATACATATATATATATATATATATATATATATATATATATATATATATATATATATACTATTTATATTGTTTTTTTTTTCCATTACAACTATAAGTATTCTTAAGATTTGATTTTTTTTATTTGTTTACTGTATTATTATATTTATTCAAATTTCTGAATCTATGTTTAGAATCTTTATTAGGTTAGTTTTTGGCCAGATAATTTTTTGTATTTGTTCATCATTATTATTCTAAGGGAACTCTTGCTCAGAATAAAATATATTTTTTTATTCTATTCTATTCTATATGTGGGGACCATTTTCATATCTTACCCCTCTCCCTCCACCCTTCCCCCCCCCCCGTTGTTGAGGGGATGAGAGTATCGTTTCGTGCTCCACATAATTTGATAATAATAATAATAAAAGGCTTAGCGAACCCAAAGGTTCGATGCCGACGCCACCAATCGCTTATTACACATCTCCCTCCACCGTTCGCCGTCCAAACCCAGACCCCTTAGATCGACTTTAATGCAATCTTCCCACCTTCGCTTCGGTCTATCCCTCGGACGCTTACCATTCGGCCCACATAATTTGATAAAAAAAAAAAAAAATAAGACACATGAATGAATGAAATATGTGAACTAAAGTCAATAAATTAAGAGAAGTCGTCTAGCTGGCTATTTTATAAGTAAGTACGTATCCATTTTATCACGACCTAAATATTTCTATTGTTTAAATTTTCATTCATATTCAGGAATAATAATATAGAAATACATCCTTGGATTTTATAATTCATTCATGTAGACACCTCTATTATAATGTGATTTTCTTAAAAATTATTTACGATAAAGTTGGAAAATATATTTAAAAAGTATAAGTATAAAAATATTATATAGAGAATGTTTTTACAGGCATTTTTACATAACTATTTAGACTTTTAAAGCATTTTAATTTTTTATTATCGTTGTGCAAACTATGAAATCAAAAATATTTTCCAGTTTTTAATATTATTCTTTTTTAGCGGTAAAGGTTATAACAATGTATCTATGTTATTAAAAGCTGTTCCCTGTCCGTTCACAATATATAGATATCTTATTTTTTCCCACATCGCTGCAAAATCAAGGGTCAAATTTCAGATGTGCGGTTCTCAACAGATCTTTAACACATTATTATTTTTTAATTGATCTGTTGGATTGCTGTAAAGATAGGGTCATCAAATAGTATCGGAAGATTGTTTTAGCATTAATAGTTGAGACTTGAAACAATACATCCGCAGATGAACTCTTTTCCAATCCTTGGTTCTTGTTATATTCGAATTGTTCCTCCGGTATAGCTGACTTGTCGTTTCCCACAGAATGTCCCAGCAGTTTGGTTGTCGTGTCCTCTCTACTCAGCTTTCAATTTCAACTATTGTTCTATTCCTACAGTCAGCCCCTTGTCTATAGGCTATAGGATCTACTGGGAACACCTTTTCCTAATTTAGCCCGATGATCGAATTTCCCTTAGAAAGAAAAAACATTTAAATCCTGAAACTGTTAAAATAATTAATAAATGCGTTTACATTTCCATTCATATTGTATTGTTTTAAGCTGAGGATCTTCAACCTATAGATCGCGGGCACCATTACGCAAACTTGCCTAACATAATCTTTATCGGCACATGAACTATTTTACTGTTTTTATTAATTTTGATAAGTAACAAATAATTAATTTTAAGTATGAGCTTACACTAATTACTTTGAAAACAGTAATTTTGTATTTTATTTTATTCATGTAGCAAATAGTAATTCACTGGTTAATGAAAACAGGGTGCTCGCCATCTAAAACATAACCTATAAATGAACCTATGACCTATGGATGAAAAAAGGTTGGAACCCATGTTTTAAACTTTTCATTATTAATTTCATTGATTAATATTATCAGTGCTATCTTTCATTCAAAAACATATTTTATTGTCATTGAAGCACCTTAGGTCAGTTGATTTTAAATAATAATAATACGGATTGATTTATTTTACCTTAAGAACAAGTTCAGGATGCCATTAAAATTAAGCAGAAATAAAATACGTTACTGATACTCACTAGCTGACCCAGTATTTAATTTTGGGGACTTCAGCCCGAAAGCTTTTTTTTTTTCATATATACAACGACAGTTATTTTTAAAAAAAGAAATATACTAACTACCTATATGAAATGGTGTTTAAGTGATTCCTAAAGTCCTATTACATGTAATTACACGAACATTAATACTTTAAGAGACAATTTTTTAATATTTTTTTTCCATAAAACATGGTTACATTTTACCATTTTGGTGGAGGAGGAGGAAGGAGGGCTGTAGCCTGAAAGCCTCCCCCGTAAATCCGCCTGTGCTGGTATTCGTTTAAAACTTCTTCTCTATTTATTTCTTATAAGTTACTTAATACTTCGCCTTTTTAGTTTTCTTTTTAATGTGATTATAATATAGCAGACAGGTTGTTGACATTCTATAGAGCACGATATTAGGGCCAGGGTTGGCTACCAGGTTGCGCCACCTACGGTACATACTCCAACTAAAATAGTACTTAGCATTGTTTATTATAGAGGCTGTGAGGTGAAGGGATACTTGCATCAAGGTGGCCGTAGAAAGTCAATCCATCTTGCATCTACAACGTTCACCAACGAGCCTTCATAATGTAAATATTTATATATTGTGCAACTATCAAGTGGTATAATTTATATAAAGTAACTCAATGCAAAATGTTATGAAAGGTTAGTTATGAATCAGTAAAAACATCAAGTATTTCTAGAGAGATAGGTAAAAGTCTAAGAGTTTATAATGTTTTATAGTGTATTTCATAACCCTATAAAATAATTTCACATGTGCACCTATGACCAAAAAAAAAAAGGATAAAGTAAAAATATAATAAAACAATTTTTAATAAATATAATTTTATATCGGAATCATTAGTTGTTGGGCGCCTGGCTTTACTAGCCTTTCATCACTAAAGAGATAATAATAGATTATATAAGTTACTTACCCATGATTTGGCCATGATTAATCATTTATTCTACCATGCTAGCTCAGGTGAGAAGGGGTTAGGTTGGATATTTTTATAAAGCAGCAAAAAAGGTTAACAGATCTATTTAAAGAATTAATACTATGTACAAGCAAAATAAATGAAATACAAGGAAAAAGAGAGAATTTATACATAATTACTATATACAATTAAAGATAAATAGGAAGATATTTAAGATAATAAAGATAATACAAATAACAAAAAAAAATACTTATTCTATATACAACATTATGGCATGCCACAACTAAACATCAAGAAAAAATAGTCAAGATACAAGAGTTATAAGATGTAAGAGCACATGCACATGCTAAAATATCAATTAGTAATCTGGGACAGAAAACAAAAGAGAGAAGAGTTTGTTTTGTTTTTTCACTGCTTCCATAATCTTGGTTATACACCTAACTCCCCTCCCCACAAAAATTTAAAAACTTAAAAAAATATGATCCCTAAAAATTCGATGGCATGACCGCTCCTTTCTAGTGTACACCTATGCATGAACATAAATACTGAATTTATTTTTTTATTATATGAATAATATAACATATGTACAAAAGATATATATATATATATATATATGTATATAGTAAACAGAAGGAAAATAATAAATAAATAATATTCAAAAAGTATATACAATGAACAAAATAACTTAAAGGTAAACTGAAATTCTTAAAAATAATTAACAACGATTTCAACACTCCAAAAGTAATTATTGAAAGGTTAATTTCGCTTATAAATTTATAATGTTTAAAATTGTTAGTTAACTGTTGATAAATTTAAAAAGTTTAATTTTCTTGTTTTTAAATCTGATTTTTTAGTTGTTTATACATTATATTCAAGATCTAGTGAGATTTAAGAGTATTGTTTCGAAGAAACATCACGTAGTGTAGATTGTAACGCGATAGTAAAAAAGAAAAAAGAAAATGGCGATTCAAATTACCATAATATTTATTATTTATTAAAAAATTGTCAAATTTTACTATCTAGAAAATGATAAAATTCTTATCATGAAAGATTGAGGTACCATTGGATTATCAATAAATATTAATCGTATATTTATTCACTTCTTTCATTTGAACCTTCATATATCTAAGTAGCTCAGTGTCATTGTATGTTCCTATTCCATTGTAATGAGACGATAATAAGTTCGTAAGAAGAAAAAAAAATTCTAGAATGGCAGAATAAAAAAAAAAAATTGAGAAATGATCCGGGACAGTATTAACATATATTACATATAGATCGCCATATTCTTCCATCCTACGACTTGGACAAATGGGCTTTTCCCGTTGTTCGCGAAGATTGGAGGACCATGTCTTGCGGTTTCCTCAAGATCCTGCCCACCGTGACCTCTCGGTAGGAAGATTGAAGAGATGAGAGGCTGTAATGCCCAGCCCACTCCAGAAGATTATCAGGTGAACGCCTGGAGAATAGAATAACTGTTTCAGGAAACGGTTCTTATCACTAACGCTCAGATATATATATATATATATATATATATATATATATATATATATATATATATATATATATATTTATTTATTTATTTATTTATAATATGGAACAATAATGTCGTGTCGTATATGCGACATAGTCCAAGGTGACAACCTTGATAACCTAATGGTGTTGAGGTTAGGTGACACTTTCGACTTGCCATTAACCTACAATCTCCGGGTCTATTGTTTTCTTTTTATAATAATTATATAGTCGCTTATATATATGCAAATATGTATTTACATATACAATTGTATGTAAATAAAATAAAACGCCTTCATCAAACAAATAATAATACGCGGTTGATTCTATGAAAAGTGAACTTTTCTTGTATCAAGCCGTTTTGAAAGCTTTAAGCTTTAAATAAACAATAAGTAATATTGAACAAAACGCTTGTGTAAAAAATTGTAAACCGTTTAAACTAACAAAATATATATATATAGACCAGGGCTGGTAAAAAAAAAAATGTTTTTGTGAATAAAAATTAAGGCAATGAAGGTACTAATACTTGACAATTTTAGTTATTATATAGAAAGCATTGGTATAACCAATATATTTTTGCATTTAACTCTAACAATTTTTCATTCGGGCTTAGTTAGGTTTCCCCTATCTGAAAAATTACTGTAATATCTGTTTAGTAATAGTCTAACAGGTAACAGGCAAGACTGTTTCGAGACTCTTGCGCAAGACCAAGACCAAGACTGAGTGCACAAGACCAACACAAACTATATAGATTGCCTAACGCTTTCGAAACATCAATCGTTAAATTTAAAAATGATGAAAAAATTTCTGTATATAACGGAATTATATTTATTATCAGTTAAGTATAAACACATTATAAACTGAAAAATTATTTCTGAAAAAAATTTTAATGGATAGGTTGGACTATGTAAATAACAAGCTTCCTAGTTGATTTAAAAGTTTCATTTTTTTCTAGATTGAAGAAAAATGCCCTCTATTGACAACTGTATGAATAAAGTTCCCAAAAGAAAATTTTAAAATGCGTATAGTGATACAATGGTTTTTTCTATAGTGCTCTTGATATCAGTGTGTTTCTTGTTAGTTGAGCATTTATGTTATCTTTTATTTATAGTTAAATAAAAATTTTAGAATTTTCCTGAGGTATTTCTATTACTTCCTGAGGTATTTCTATGGTATCGACCCCACGTCAATTATTAGAACAATTTAATTTCGGGGTGTCCATCACTAGGGCAAAAAGATGTTTTAACGGGTGGGTCAATCTTCGGATTTGATGAAGAATTAACTAAGTTATGTCCTACCGAGGAAAAAAAAACTTGCTAGTTGTTTGTTAGCGAAGCTTTTGCCTTACATTATCTCGAAATAAGTTTTTGGGCTTAAGAACGCAGGTCTTAGTGTACGCATCAAAATCTACAAAGCCCAATTTGTCCTATATCCTACAGACTTACCACCGTTTCAGTATTGAAGCCTAGCAAAATGTTTGTAAAAGAAAAATTAAAGCGGTGACTACGATTTGGTTAAGACACGTGAAATTATGAATCCAACGGTACCCTATTCGTGGAGCAGGGCAGAAGCTTATATTTGGTACAAAACGTATTTCGAGCCTTACTGTAATAATATATGTCAGGATTTTAATTTTTTTTTTTCCAATCCACGTCTTGATACATTATTAGCATCACCTTGACGTTACGTCCATGGAAGATCTCGACAGTGCAGCCAACTGACCTGGTAACACTTATCGTCACTTAGTGGAACGGATGCAATGGCCAAATCGATAGATAGAAATAGACAAGGAGGGAAAGTGTTTCCGCTGTCTTGGCTAGAAGTCTCCGAGGGAAAAGAAGTCTATCATTTTTTTTCCGTTAGTGAATAGATTTCAACTCCTTTCTTCTTTGTAATTTATAAAAAAAAAAAATGATTTATTTAGCACAATTACCCGTGCTAATTGGTGGTCTACCAGGTCTACGTTTCCAAAAGAAAATTTTCACATGCCTATCATTGTTGTTTCTCTAGTGCTCTTGAGATCAGCATGTTTCATACCTTCCTACTAACTGTTTTTCTGAGAGTAAATTGAACATTTATATTGTCTTATCTTTATCGTTATCTTCATAGTTAAATAAAAAATTTAGAATTGTTTCTGATGTATGTACATTACTGGTACCGACCACCTGTCCATTATTAGAACAATTGAATTTAGGTGTTGTCCATAACTAATGCAAAAAGGTGTTTTTTTTTAATATATATTATACCTGCATAGCTGTATATGTTTTTCAATTTTAATGTGTTAAATAGAAAAAGGAAGCCCTAGAGATTCTCAATGTCCAACGGAGAAGTTTATTTAGAAGTTTATTAAGTATCAGAATTTCACGAGACTTAACCAAATCGTACTCCCCGCTTTTGTTTTTCTTTCTAAAATAAATGAAGTCGATATAAACGTTTTGCTTGGCTTCAATATTGGAACAGTGGTAAGTCTGTAGATCGATAGGGACAAATTGGGCTTTGAAGATTTTGATGCGTATACCAAGACTCGAGTTCTTAAGCACAAAAATGTCCTTTTTTCGAGATAATGTAAGGCAAAAGCTTCGCTAACAAACAACTAGCAAGTTTTTTTTTTCCTCGGTAGGACATATCTATATAATAATTACGGCGCCACAAGACAAAAAAATCCTTAGCTACGTTCATTACTGGTGCGCTTATTCTAATTATTAACTATTTTTTTTAAAACTTATTTCTTCTTTTCTTATATTTTTATTGATTCCTTAATTTATTTTAATTATTAATTTTTTTTTTATTGTTCAAACGTGACTCCATAATTTGAGTTTTATTATTCACACGTTACAAAATATTCTATGGCTGCCTTTTGTGCTAACAATAAAGTCCTACACAACTGTTGCCTAAATTTGGTCTGGATCGAGGCACCCATGAAGATGAGACATCCTCACGAATGACACACGAGTTTCGAGGATATCTTGGCCGATGAAACTAAAGATGGCAGTGTGGATGTTGGAAGAGAGCTTTACCGAAAGTAGTAAACATTTCGCAAGTAGGTCGTGCCTCACATTTTGGATTTTTATCTTATGTCGTCCTTCAACATTCTTATTTCTGGCAGAAAATATATTTTATTAAGGATATTCAAATAAAAAGCGTTTGTTTATTTATCTCCATGGAGACAATTCTTTCTTACAGGTGTGTTTTCTAATAATTATCAACTGAAAAACAATATTAAAAAAGTTTAAAATTAAATCCACAATTTTATATTAAATATAACCGAAATCGTCGACATTATTATTTTCACTTGAGTTTAAACAAATAACTTTGAGTAAATAATCGTTATCTAAAGATTGCGTGATAAAAATTCACTCAAGATGTTTTTAAATCGATCAGCTGATCTGTTAATTTAGTTTTATTCTATTTGTTTTTAATTTTTAATAATACATTATTTTATTCTCACTTATTATTGAAGCGAAAACTTCTTTAGGTACATTTTGCACTTTTTTTTTTGTGAAGAGTAAATTAGATTGAGCCGTCAGATATCCGGCATGTAACACTCGGAGATTTAAATATCTGAACAACCGAAAATCGAACGTGCATATTATTAGGAAGAGAAATATTCATCATTTCATCCTCTTTGTAATGAGCTATTATTCAAAATTGTATCTTAACACGACTCCGTATTAAAGAGGGAAAATCGGGTTTAAAACCAAATGATAACGAGTTTTATTGAAGATATGGATTAAAACAACTTAGAATTTTTTTTTAAATTTCTTTATTGAGTATTATAACAATCTGTCTGTAACTTATAAATTAAAAATCGGACCTGCATACTGTAAGCGAGAGAATTGTTTAGCAATTTATCCTCTTTGTAAAGGGCTATTATTTATAATTTATATTTCATATTATTAATCTCGCCTTGATATTTTCACTTCTATCGTTTGATCTAAAGCATACAGCTTAGTCATTTTTATTATTTTAATAAGTATCATTACCAATTATTTATTAATTCATAAGATAGCAAACAAAAATTGTTTATTTTGTTTTATAAGCCGTGGGGCGACCCTGGGATCAGGAGACACCTCCCTGGGACACACCCAGCCTCTATATAATGGCTACCCTTAATAAAATAATTAATTAAGGGGGGAGGGAGGAGAAACTGGCGGTTGAGCGTGATCTCAGTCTAATCACTTCCTTGCACAACCGTTGACTAAGAAACAGTACTTTCCCTAAATAGTATTGAACTCAAGACCATTCATCGGTTGTAATGGTACAGATCTATATATTTTTAACTTTTTCTTACTAGATTTGATATCTGTTCCAGAGTGTCAGGCCTAGAAGATAGGAGCAAAGTGCCTTTCTCACTGAACTACTATTATCATAAAGATATTTGAATATTGAATTTGTTTTTCCCATCCCACCCTAACACTGTCATCACTACGTATACTGATGACACATGTATCCTGTCAGTTAATAACGATCCAACAATTGCATCCCAAACTCTTCAATCACACATCATAAACCTTGAAGAATGGTGTCAAAACTGGAGGATTAAAAACACCTCACTTATCCCTGTAGAAGAAATACGATACCTAGTACTCCAGCTGGACAAACATCTCACTAGGAATCCTCATACAAGAAACCGCTCGACGTTTCCGCTTACTCCAAAATTAACTAGACAAACGCTCTAAACTTGCAATTAATTACAATCGACTCATATACATGACTATAATAAGACCTATTTGGACTTATGTAGTTGAGCTATGAGGCTCCACTAAACCATCAAATTCTTCTCGTATCCAATCCTTACAATCCAAAATCCTACGTAAAATCCTCAATGCTCCTCACTTTGTCACCAATAAAATAATCCATAAAGACCTCAATGTTCCATATGTTTCCGATTTGACCGAATCCAGATACTTATCCTTCCATAATAAACTTCATAACAATCCGGATCCTCTTCTTTCTAACCTTGCTTCCTCTTCGATTCCTGATAACCATCCGAGGCGTCTGAAAAGAAGATGGCCTCGCGATCTTCTCATTAGAGTGCTACCAATGGGTAGTTTCTCATCAAGCGTGTTTCATGCGATTATATTCCTCTGTGTACATTTACTTGATGTATTCATACTAATACAGTTGTAAATATCATAATAAAAGTTTTTTTTAAAAAAAGGGTATTTATTTTAATTATAT